AGTTCAGGAGGATATTGTATTTCCTTTCTTTCCAATCTCTTGAGGACAGAATATTTCCTCTGCATGATGAAGAAGAGCCTGGGGGTAGCTATAACGGATCGGTGCTTTCTCATGGTCTCCTGGATTTCTTACTGTACCCACTTAGCAAAATGCTACAGATTTTAATTGGACAGACCAACCCTTTAGCTCCTGCAACATTTCACATTAAGAGTTCTGGGCTTTTCAAATTAGAGGAGTGATCTTTATATTCTTTTTTTTAAAAAATAAAGTTTGGTCTTTCTTTACGTGGTGTGAGATTGGTGTGTGTTTCCTGAGGGGCGGGCAGCGGAGGGTTTAACCCTCAGGTGACTCGGTTGATATTGTCAGAAATTGGCATTGCTGCAATTATTTTCATTGCTGTCTTTTTTCTTGCTAGGATAGGGAATGGATATGGAAGCTCCACCTCTCGCACTGGGGAAGACATCCGGTGAAACAGCCCCTTGGGGAACTGGAGACAGCAGCGGGAACCAAGTCTCTACTCCCGTGAAGACCCCAGAGAGTTTTGAGAAAAGAAGAAGCTCAAAATCTTCAGCCTTTGGAAGACCACTGCTTTCAAAGGAGCCACTCCCATTTAAGCGTGGGTAAGACTGTACAGTAATCAAGAGTCTGGGACTTCTACCTTCTCTGATTGGATGCTGAACTTCCTGCAGTCCTAGCTCACCCCAAATTCTTTAAGAGGGGATCAGGTATCACTGACGAAGAAAAAAGATCCATAGAACAGATCATAGCTCAATGGGTAGCAAGGTTTTGACAAGAACAGACATATTTGGAATTTGGATCCCGACAGGGCTCGAGGTTGACCCAGCCTTCCATCCTTCCGAGGTCGGTAAAATGAGGGCCCAGATTGTTTGGGGGCAATACGCTGATGTTGTAAAGCACGCAGAGAGGGCTGTGAAGCACTATGAGGCAATATAGAGCCTCATGGTAGCGTAGTGGTTAGAACGCAGTATTGCAGATGAACTCTGCCCACAGTCTGGAGTTTGATCCTGACAGGGATTGACTCATCCTTCTAGCCTTCCAAGGTCGGTAAAATGAGGACCCAGACTGTTTGGGGGCAATACGCTGATGTTGTAAAGCACGCAGAGAGGGCTGTAAAGCATTGTGAAGCGGTATAGAGTCATGGTGGCATACTGGTTAGAATGCAGTATTGCAGGCAAACTCTGCCCAAAGCCTGGAGTTTGATCCTGACTGGCTGGAGGTTGACTTAGACTTCCATCCTTCCAAGGCAGGTAAAATGAGGGCCCAGCTCGTTGGGGGCAATATGGTGACATTGTACACCACTCAGAGAGTGCTGTAAAGCACTACAGAACGGTATACAAGTCTAAGTGCTATTGCTAGTGCTACTGCTGCACTGGGCCTGAGCGGTAAAAAGACCTCTCTATCAAAAGGCTGCCTTTCTCTCATTCTCTCCCCCTCCCCTCCCCGACACACACACACACCCCTCTTGTGACATGAGCTACCCAGGCACACTTCCAAATAAAACACTGGAGTGTAGCCACCTGTTATTTTCATATTTTAAGTTTGCCTCCAGGCTACATTTGGAGCCTGGCGAGCTTCGCCTTTTGTTTTGCACCTTGCAAAGCTTCCTGTTTATTTATTTTTAATTAAAACGATAAACAAACAAATCCAGGAGGACATGGAGCTCGGAGGGGGCCCAAGGGAGGGTCTGCCAGCCAATTGGCACCCGTGAGGTCCGTGGTGTGGACAGAGGCCATACACCTTAGAACGTTCCCTCAAGGGAAACAATGTCTTTTCTCCCCATGAATAGCAATAAGGGCCGCTAACCCACTGATGCATTCAGATGCTGGGGAATCTTTTTCAGGTTTGGATGGTGTTCAAAATTAGGGAGGAAAGTCTCTGAAGCGTGCTTCCACTCAGCAGGTCATGGAGAACTTCGCCGAGTGGGGAGGGCCAGACTTAGCCAGAGCAAGCAATGCCAGCCATTCTGTCAAGCTTTGCAGGGAACTGAAGTATCCAAGCTTATGCCAGGGGTGTATTAAGCCGTACATTTAATTAAGAAGCTAAATGGAAGACACTATTGGCTGAGCTGCAGAGAAAAGCAGGACACCAATATGTGGTATCAAATCTTCAACATAAAGCCAATGGACCGAAATTTCCCTAAGAATAAATTTCAGCAGCACATCCATTCCAAAGATTGCAAGACAGCAACCACAGGAGCGCAAAAAGAATTTAAGTTGCTGGCAAACAGGGCCCTTCCTACTTAATATTATTCTCCAACTTACATGCTGCAGATACTGATAGTACGGCTGTTATTAGTTTATAACCACAGCACGGTATCGGTCATTAGGGAAGTTTATCGTTCAAAGTAAGAGAGCGGTGTACAAAACTAATTCTGCATAATTTCCCTATCTTCAGAATGGAAGCCGGAAAGATGATGCCGTGGCTGGGAAGAAGGACAAAAATGCCGTAGAAAAAAAAAGAGCATCCAGGGGTGTTAATTTCTCGATTCTCTATGCCAGTGGTGGCGAACCTATGGCACACGTGCCAGAGGCGGCACTCAGAGCCCTCTCTGTGGACACATGCGCCATGCCCCGGAGATGACAACCGTCCCTCTTCAACCAGTCGCCTGTTAATTTGCCGAGGTCACACATCTGGGTGCATCCCAGTACCCATGAGCTTGCTGCGGGGGCCGATGGTGTGCGGGGGCCGATGGTGTCAGGCAGCAGCCACCCCGCTCCTGACTGACCTTGCCCTGTGACAATGGCACCCCCACCCTGCCTCGCCTCACCCTGCAGGACGAGCCTCCTGCCAGAGACCCCCTGGATCTCCCCCACCCCTGCCCGGCCCCCACAGGCATCCCTCCTCATGAGCAACATTGAGGTGATCATGCCCACCTTGGCCAGACCCACCCAATCTGCCATGACCACAGCCACGTCCACCCATGGGCCATGCCCATCTGGCACCTGGCGATAAACAAGTGGGTTTTGGGTTGCAGTTTGGGCACGCGGTCTCTAAAAGGTTCGCCATCACTGCTCTATGCTCAGATTTTAAAAGGTCACCTGCCTAACACAGATGGATTCATGGGGTAATTTTTCAGTCTCTGCAAAAGGTCTGTGCAGGTAGTCCTCAACTTATAACTGAGCCCCAAATTTCTGTTGTTAACGGAGCTTTTGCCCCGTTTTATCACCTTTCTTGACACAGCTGTTAAGTCAATGGCCCTCAGTTGCCAAGTTTGAAGACCCTTGACCTACAGTATCTAGGTACCCACAACAGATCCTCTGCCATGTCGGTGTGAACATCTTTTCAAAGGGATTGCTGTAGGAATTTCCAACTGATGCCCTGGCAATTTTTAAAATTCTCGTTGGGCTCCTGTTCCTCTAACTGCCTTGTGATGGAATAAATTAAATACACAGAGCTTCCCTCCATCATTTTTCTTTCTGTCAAAAGAACAGAGATCTCGGGAGGAGAAACAGCAATCTATTTGTTGTTTGACACTTAGCACCAAATGGAAAGCACTTTCTCTGCTCAGATAGTCTAGAGGGGATTTTCATCTTCATCCTACTGAGAAGCTAGAAGGGAGGGAGGGAGGGAGGGAGGGAGGGAGGGTGGATGGAGACTCCATCTTGTCTCAAACCCTTTGTGTAAGCAACTTCTCTTTAGAATAATCCGGTGTGTATTGTGGCAGATCTCAGCATCTCATCCTGCTGGGGCCAGAATAACCCAACAACAGAGTTGGAAGACTCCTTGGAAGTTCTTCTAGTCCAGGGGTCTTCAAACTTGGCCCTTTGATGACTTGTGGATTTCAACTCCCAGAATTCCTCAGCCAGGCATGCTGGTTGAGGAATTCTGGGAGTTGAAGTCCACAAGCCATCAAAGGGCCAAGTCTGAAGACCCCTGTTCTAGTCCAACACTCTGCAACCCTATACCATTTCAGATAAATGGTTCCCCAGTCTCTTTTTGAACACCTTCAGTGATGGAGCACCCACAAGTTCTGGAGGCAAGCTATTCCACGCTGGTTAATTGTTCTCACTGTCAGGAAATGTCTCCTTATCCCTAGGTTGTTTCTCTCCATGATTAGTTTCCATCCATTGTTTCTTGTCTTGCCTTCAGGTGCTTTGGAAAATAAGATGACTCACTCTTCTTTGTGGCAGCTCCTAAAATACTAAAACACTGCTATCATGTCACTCCTAGTTCTTCTTTTTTCTAGACTAGCCAAACCCAATTCTTGCAACCACTCTTTATAGGTTTTAGCCTCCAGTCCCCTAATCATCTTTGTTGCTCTTCTCTGCACTCTTTCCAGAGTCTCTACATCTTTTTTATAGTATGGTGACCAAACCTGGATGCAATATTTCAAGTATGGTGTTCCTAAGGCTGTATAAAGTGGTACTAATACTTCCCGTGATATTGATTCTATCCTTCTGTTAATGCAACCTAGGATTGTATCGTACTGCACACTGCGGGCTCATATTTAAGTGATTGTCCACGAATACTCCAAGATCCCTCTCACCGTTATTGCTATTGAGCCAGATTTCACCTAATCTGTGCCTCTACATTTGGTTTTTCTTTTTTTTTTGCCTAAGTGTAAAATCTTATATTTCTCTACACTGGATTTCATTTTGTTAGCTAGAGCCCAGTATTCAAGTCTGTTGAGATCCATGGGGATGTAATATTGCTTCTTCTGGTCTTGTATGCTTAGTTGCCAACTGACTTAAAGGTAGTAGATTAATTTTCCCAGGAACAGAAGTGGGAGGTAAAGAAAGAGGCATCAGCTAAATTTTGGTGCTGGCCTGTGGTTCATAAGAAGGCCAGTGGCAGGCTCTTTCACATTTCACGAGAATGACCAAAGCGGCATGGGAGTATGATGTTCCTTTGGGACACGTGTAGGCTTGCGTGTTCATGCTAACCGTGCCACCTGGACCCCCTTGCCCCCCCCCCGAAGATGCTGCAATGGGCGGGCTCAGGAGAAAACAAAAATGGCAGCTGGGTTCTGTAGCCCTTACCGTTTCCTTCCATTTCTGGATGCCTTCAAGCAGAACCAACAGCAGTTGTTGCAAATCTATCAGGGGCTGTTTCCGCAGATTCCGGTCCAGGCTGACCCGACACAATAGTGCAAGGATGGCCAAGCGCTGGTGGTCCGGGTAGCAGCGCGGCTGGCTTGTCACACACAATGTCAGGAACTGGAGAGGAAAGGAGAAATCAAAACAGTTATCAGGGGGACGTGACAGTGTTTCCCTAAAGGCTGACTAAATAGCAGCAGGAAAGGTGGAGCGCGGATAAAGCAGGAGGCAAGGTCATTCCAAACATGACCCACTTGGAGTGTCCTGCCCTTTTCTGCTAACTTCCGTGCCAGCTGGGTATGTACAGCCACTGACCCCCGTGAGCCAGAAGGGGCTGGGACAATCAGCCACGTAACGGCTGAAGTCAGAGCCTGAGGAAGCCTTGCATCCGATGACAGAGCAGTCCGATAACAATATACCGGTTAACCCGTGCTTAAACCTCAGGAATGCTTTCTGCCCCTGGGTTCTCTTTGCTGATCACCATCTCTTTGGCTTGATGTTCCTGGGCTCCCTGGCCTTGTCTACGAAGCCAACATGTGGCCAGTCTTTGGGATATTCTACTCGGAGCTTTGCAGTGCAGTTTTCAGAACCGTCCAAAATATATGAAAGGTTGGTAAAGTAAATAGATCAGCTTCCAAAATAGGAGAATATCTGTAGCTCAGGGCTGACACGAGGGGTCCTTGGTGCTCGTTGAGCTTGGCTGTTTTCTTGCAGTCCTTTCATTACCCAACTAGGTAACATCACCAGTGACACGTCTGCAAGAAAACAACCAAGCTCAACGAGCACTAAGGACCCCTCACAGGAATAATTTTTGCACAGTACTGAAAGAATGAAGGACTGCCATCAGAAGAAGAAATAATCAGGAAAATATTGGAATGTGCAGAGATGGACAGATTAACTATGAGGTTGAAAGATAAAGAAGATACAGACTACTATCAAATTTGGAACTTATTTTATTCTTGGCTAGAGGAAAGAATGAAGGATTAGGAATTGAACATGTATTAGCACAGCAAACTCCAGACAACTTGTTGATTGGAAAAATTAACATATGTTGATGAAAAAAAAAACCAATAAAATCTTTACCCAAAAAAATAAAAAAATAAATAAGGACCCCTCACAGATAGGCTTGTTTAGAAAAACGCAGACCTCAGAAGGAATCGTGTTCAAGGATGTACACCTAGACATGCACACCAGTATTCCAAGTTTGTATTAGTATTGCATAAACAACAACAACAAAATGCAGGCTGACAAAAAAATGCAAACATTCATAAAAATCCGAAACGGTGTGGTCTCTTCATTTGCAGGAACGATTTTGCCCACAGTGTCAACTTTGACTTTGACAGCACGAGCTGGTTCTTGTACCGCGAACAAACAAGGGCTGCAAATTGTCGTAGTAAAGTTTAAGTTGCAGCCTATGATCTGGAGGTGTCTCCTGACAGTAAATGCTGACTGAACATGTCAAATGAGTGAAATAAAACTGACATGTTTGGTTTACACTCTGAGACAGAGGCTGATAAAGTGAAAGCAGGTAGAAGTGGCTTCATAAAAAAAGAACTGGCCAGGGAGATGAAAGCACCAACTAATATCCAAAGCATTACCTTGTAATGGATTATCCAGGTCGTAGAAAAACAACTTCCAAAACACTTTGAAAAGGTTAATCAAAGTGGTTCAGGAAAGCAGCCATGGATGGTTGAAGAATTCAAATTCTGGGTGCTCTCTGAGCTTGGCGAGGTTCTTGCAGACGTGTATGGAGATTCTCAGTCAAACGGATCATGGTTGTCCCAAAGGAGCTTTTTCAAGACTTCCTTGTTTTTCTTTGAAGACATTTCACTTCTCATCTAAGAAGCTTCTTCAGCTCTGACTAGATGTTGGGGAATGGAAGGATTTATATTCCTTGCAGACAGCTGGTCATTGGCATTCTTTTACAGAGTCATTGAGGCCACTTGGAGGTTCACCTGTGTCCTCAAGGTCACCTGAGTAGTGCAAATGGGTATGGAGCTTTCTTGGAAATGCTGAAACGTCTTGCAGACATTTCATGGCAAACAAACTCCATCCCTTACTAGCACTGATGATGTTACCTAGCTTGGTAATGAAATCACCAAGCTCGGAGAGCACCAAGGACCCCCCCCCCCCGAACTTGGATTCTTCAACCATCCATAACTGCGTTCTTGAACCATTTTGATAGACACACACACACACACACACCAGAATTCAATTCTGAGTTACAAATACCAGCTTTTCCTCTGTTCTAGTTTGACCAGCATAGGAACTTCCCCGCTTTACAGCTTTGGTCTGCTCTGATTTTTGGAGAACAGTGAACAATAAATATAGGGGATGGGTAGGTTCAACTACTGACTCTGGGATCAGATCCTACAATGGATAAAGACAGTACTTCTTTTCTTTAAACATTTGGGGGTGTTAGGAGAGCTGTCCGTTCCTCTTGCCTCCACGCACGCACACACACTCACTGCTGCTTCCTCACAAGTGCAATCCGAAACCTCAGACCGTTTCTCTTGCAAGAGCCACGAGATTGACAGGAGAGCTGAATCAAAGCCCAGCGGGGGCTTTACACACAAGCAATTGTCTTATGATTTCCTACAGACAGAAATTCTCGCTCCCCCCCCCCGCCTGTCTTTTCTTTCCACTTGTGGGATGTAAGGTGCCCTGCTGACACAGCATCTTTCTGAAGATGGTTTTAATGTGTGTTGGGGAAGGTGTACCGGTGCTGTTTTAATTACTACAAGAACAAGCGCGGAGGTAGAGAGTAGCTGTCTGCTGAGGTCTGCGTTAGCCAATTGGGAAGAATGCTCCTGAGAAGGGGGGGGGGCAGTTTGCAGCTCTGCAAGAACAGGAGCAGTGACGGTCATGGATAGGTGTGAAATAGTCAAGGAGGTTCAAATGAGTACAGGTTTACTGCATGCTAATACTCTATGACAGGGGTAGGCAAACTTGGCTCTTTTATGACTCGTGGACTTCAACTCCCAGAATTCCTGAGCCAGCATGGGGGAAACTTTGACCCCTTCATGACTCGTGGACTTCAACTCCCAGAATTCCTGAGCCAGCATGGCTCAGCTTGGAAACCTCTCCCTTTCCTCTAAGCGTAGCTGGCTCAGGAATTCTGGGAGTTGAAGTCCACGAGTCATAAAAGAGCCAAGGTTGCCTACCCCTGCTCTATGAGAATCTGAAATGCTAATGGTCAAAGCCAATTGGCAGCAGATAAGAGCCAATGGAATTCAAGGTGGGCTGGGCTTGCATCTCTGGTGGGTGCAAAGAGACTCAAAACTGATGACGCTTTTGACTCCTCCCTCGGGTTCAATCTGGTCATCTCCTACAGAAAGGTTTTATTGTGTGCGTGTGTATGACTGATTGTGTGCCACCAAGCTGTTTGTTTTTGACTTCCAGTGACCACAAAGGTATACAGGGAGTCCTCGACTTACAACAGGTCATTCAATGACCATTCGTCACTGAGAAAAGTGACTTCTGACCGTTTTTCACACTTAAGACCGTTGCAGCATCCCCATGGTCACATGATCAAAATTTGGATGCTTGACCACTGGCTGGTATTTATGACAGTTGCTGTGTCCCAAGGTTATCTTTTCCGACCTTCTGGCTTGGCAACCGATTCATATTTATGACCGTCACTGTGTCCTGGTGTCACATGATCCCCTTTGGTGACCTTCTGACAAGCTAAGTTGGCGGGGAAGCCAGATTCATTTCACAACCTCGTGACTAATTTGACAATTAAGCAGCGATTTGCTTAACAACCGTGTTGAGAGAGGTCATAAAATGGGGCAAAACTCACTTAACAAGTTTCTCACTGAGCAACAGACATTCTGGGCTCCACCGTGGTCGTGTGTTGAGGGCTACCTGTATTTTCTTCATGACCACCTGTCTCCAAACTGCTCCTTCCAATGGTTGTCCCAACATGACTGAAAGGGGTTTCCTCCACCTTCTTCTTTTCTTCCCTTCCGCCTTTCCAAGCATCAGCAACTTTTGCACAGAGATGGTTACCAGCATCAAATTCCTGGGAGTGCAGCTAATGAGCAAGCTGGCTTGATTGCTCAACAGTGAGACACTGGTGAAGCAGGCACAGCAGCGCCTGCATTTTCTGCGTCGCATGAGAAAAGCACATCTTCCTTCCTCTGTCCTGACCACTTTCTACAGGGGGACGATTGAGAGCATCCTATCATACAGCATCACAGTCTGGTTTGGAAGCATCCCTGCTTCAGACAGGAAGGCGGTGGAGAGAGTGGTGAGGACGGCTGAAAAGATCATTGGAGCATTAACCTTGTGAACTCTCAAGCTTCCTCCTTCCGTTATATATTCAAGTTGGACAGTATTTAATATTTATTTGTTATGTATATGTAGGGGTGTGGGTCTCTACCATATGTTGTATATAGATCTTTAGGTGTGTGTCATGTAAAAAAATGACAATAAAGGTTATCTTATCTTAGAGCTGGGTCGTCTCATCATGTGATCAAGCTAGGATAATTTGTGCCCGTTTCCAGTGTTCCAGGGGTGAAAATTGGAGCGGTGTGGAAGGACAGTCACGCAACTCCTCCGTGGCCAGGCGAGTATTAAAGTGGACGTACCTCCCCCGTCCTGTTTTGCCACTGCAATCAGTTGTTCAGTTGGAGAAACCGACACACAGCAGTTTTATTTTCCTTGCATTGTTGGCCCTGCAACGTCTCTGGCTTTTAAGCAGATTGCAGAAAGAGACTTTCTCAGCAGGATGGCCTTGCTTTCCTAAAAGCAGTCTTTTTTTTTTTTCTTTTTGGCAAAATGTTACAATTTCTCCACCTATCAAACTGCCACAGCTTTGTCTTCAGTAAAAAAAAAGAAAAAAGAAAGAAAGAAATAAGAAAAAGTAGTAGTGATCTTTGGCTCCCCTGAAAACACATCAATTGCAACTGTCTGCGGAATGCGATTGTGCCCTGTCACGCATTCATAGTGACAAGAAAAATTGTCCCAGCTGCATATTGCCTATGTTTCATAGTGTGGCTTTCAATTCAAGAACTCCTCTCTCTCTCTCTCTCTCTCTCTCTCTCTCTCTCTCTCTCTCTCTCTCTCTCTCTCTCTCTCTACTCTCTCTCTCTCTCTCTCTCTCTCTCATATATATATATATATATATATATATATATATATATATATATATATATATATATATATATCTCCTCCATTGCGGGTCTCTGAGGAGGATGAAAACCCTGGAAAATTATGCATTGTTGCAACGTTATAAGAAGCGCAACGGATCTTTGGGCCCATGTTCTCCGTGCCAGGAAGGCTTCTGTGTAACAAATAGCTTTTGATGCTTTAATACTATGCCAATTTGAATTATGCTTTGCCCAAGTGAAAACCCTAATCCCTTGGTTCAGTGGCACCACAATTAACTGCCACGACGAGGATTTTACTCTGCAACAAACGGAGGATTAACAAGGAAGCGACCGAAGCAGGTGGCCATAGATACGCAAAAGCAGATAATCAGTTCAGGTCGTCCTCAGCTTATCACCACCACGGAGCCCAAAATTTCTGCTGCTAAGTGAGTCATTTGTTAATTGAATTTTGCCCCGTTTTATGACATCTCTTGCTAAACGAATCACAGCTTTTCTTAAGTTAGTAACAAGGTTATTAAATGAATCTGACTTCCTCACTAACTTTGCTGGTCAGAAGACTGCAAAAGGGGATCACGTGATCCTGGAACACTGCGACCGTCGTAAATACGAGTCATTTGCCAAGCATTCGAATTTTGATCACGTCACCATGGGGGGGATGCTTCAATGGTCGTAAGTGTGAATAATGGTCACAAGTCGCTTTTTTCAGTGCCGTTGTTAACCTTGAACGGTCGCTAAATGAATTGTTGTAAGTTGAGGATTACCTGTACATCAGCGGCCCCAGATTCGGAGCTCCGTCAACGTGTTTGGACCATTACAACAATCAGGAAACCTTGACCCAGTAATACTTTGGAAGATGAATCACAAAATGTAAATAACCTCCTTCTTATACAAAAGCATCTCAAAACAGTTTCCAAAGTGCACTACGGAATCATAATAGCAGGAAATAGAAATAATACAAAACCATGCACAATGAAAGAGGGTGGGCGGGGAAAGAGAAACTACAATAAAAACAATCCATCCCTTAATACTTTCCCTTCATCTTTTTACTTCTTCTGATGATCCTAATAACTGACCAGGTTAATAAATGTGGAGGTAGTCCATCAGTCATCCTGGTTCCAAGTTACCTGAGGCCATATTATATCAGAATGAATTGTTGAGTTGATGCAAGGGCATCAAAAGAGGTGTGACGTCTATGGGAGGTGGTGGAAAGTTTGATCTATCACTTGAAGGAACTTGAAAGCTGTGAATTTCACCAGGAGAACATCCTTAGAGCCCCCGTTTTGTCTTCCACAGAAGAAAATCTCTGTACATTTTCTATACGTATGCAACTGTACTGGATTAGGAAATATTAGCATTCTGAATCTTAGCTCATAGCTGAAGAAATTGCCTCCCAAATTTTGGATGCTTCTCATCCCTTCCCTTTTTTTCTCCAGGTAAAAATTGCAGGTGTGGATCACAGTTGCCTTCAGAGAAACTTCCTGTATATATTTTTCTTGTGCGCTCCTAAAGCTAAAGTATAGCCTGGTTAATAATAAGTTTGGACTTCTGCTAAATGTTGAGGCTATCCATTCCAGAAACAGAGATGAGAATTCAGATTCCAAATAACTGGATGCCATTATATATTCTTAACACTTTATGACATCATGTATTAAAATTCCTTAGATTATTTATGTTTCTGCTACACCAACTCTGTCTCAACAAAGAGTTGGTAGCTAAATTTAAACTGGTCCATCTAAAGAAGTAGAACTAGGGGGCCTCCAGTTTGACGTCGCAGTGTAACGGGCTCAGGAAGACAGGGCTCCATGTTCCATGTTTGATTTCGCCCCACTGGGGACCCTAAAAAGAGTCAAAAGTCACCCCAAAGAGGCGACAAAGAAGGAGGGGATCCTCGTCAATCACAGATGGGTGGTGGCCCTTCTGATGGATCCAAGGAAGCCCTCCAACTGGCAGGGCTTCTTCTAAATCTTTACAATGAGAAAAAGCAACCCAAAGATTACACCTTTTAGAAGGTTAATTTCACATTTTAGAACACTTTTGGCTCTAGATAAATTACTTCTAGAAAGGGGCATCGCTTTTGGATAGATGCAAGAACTAGCCAGTCAATTCAGCTTTTGCTGCAACTTGCAGAAGCAGGGTTCTTTTCAGTTCCAATAGATAAGGTGCCTTCAAAGCAACAAACCCTACCACATTCAGCAAATGGCTAGATTTAGGTCTGCATCTGGTTGTAGCAGGAGGTTACTGAATGCCTACCTTGAATGTATCTTCCAGCATTGTTATGAAGCTAAGCTGGAAACAGATATTTTCATTCTTAATGTCTGCGGGACGAGAAGAGTATTCTGGGAATCTGCAAATGGAGAAAGAGAAAGTCAGTGGAGAGAGACCAAAGGTGGCCCTGACCATCTTCGCAACTGGAGCAGTCAGCCAATCTAAAGAGCCATGGCTCCCCACTGGAACGTCATCAACCAAGATATTCTCCTGACCAAGCTCTATCAGATTTGATGGGAACTTCCTATGTTCTCCTCTAAGCTCCTAATGAACTTCATCACTTATTTCTGTTTTGGGTTCAACTATCTTTATTCTGAAGGAAGCCACCTAAGCTCACATGTTAGAGGAAGCCAATGTTGGAATCAGCCTGGACCCCAAGAATTCTGACAAACTCTATGTGGGGCTATGGAAATTACAATTAGATTGTGCCTGGGTACAATAAGATCCAAAGGCAAGGTCTTAGATCAGTGGTTCTCAACCTTTTTAATGCCGCGACCCCCCAACCGGTCGTAAGTCGAGGACTACTCAACTGGTCGTAAGTTGAGGACTGCTCAACTGGTGCAGCACCGTTTGCAGAATGGGACTTTTGGCAGGCTCAGCAGGGCAGAGACAGCCTGGACAATTCCTATTGGCTTTTGAAAGCCAATAGAATTAGACTCTATTCTATTGGCTTTCAAAAGCGACCTCCGTCAAATGGTCATTCGACCCCAAATGGGGTCCCGACCCACAGGTTGAGAACCACTGCCTTAGATGAAGAAGTCCTTCCCGCATATTAAGCCCCACTGGAAGCTGTGAAGATGGCATGATGCCATGATTTCACAGTCAGGTGGTTTCCTCAAAAGCTGTGAGGGTGGTTCTAGGTGGCAGAGTAGACCCTCCGGGTGTATGTGTGGGGTCAGGAGAAAGAAATGATTTGAGCCCAGAGGCCAGACAGGGCGAGACCAGAGTCCAACGCTGCTTACCTAACTAAGCAGGGAATTCAAGACAACGAATTGAATTAAAAGGATTACGATCAAGGTGGCTGTTAAGACTGTCTGAGCATGTCTAGATCAAGCAGCTGGAGGAGGCTCTATGAATGGGAAGATGGGGCACTCCCAAGCCCCACAGGGCTGTGGGGTTGCAAATATTTTTCTTCCATTTTGCACTTGGGAAGTGCTGCAGTTGAGCAAGAAAAAGGTTGGTTCAGGAGCCAAGGAGGACAATGCAGGAAAATACAGTGGTACCTTGGAACTCAACTGCTTTGAAACTCACCAAATTTGGTACTCAACACAAAAAAAATTGTCTCGGTACTCATCATTTCTTTGGTACTCAATGCACAAACTAGTACTTGTCAGTGTTGGTTCCCTTATGGCTCACTGCATTATTCCTGATGTGTTACACAATTAATATCAATATCTTAGCCTTTTGTGGTACTCATTGCACCTCCCAGATCCAATTAACAATGAGTACCAAGATACCACTGTTTGGTATAACACTGGTGCTGAACTGGCTGCAGTTGGGACTAAACCAATGTTTCTCAAACATGGCACCTCAACTCAACATCTTAGACTTGCCAAGTCTGAGAAACACTGGACTAAAACAAAAGCAGATAAGCCAAATTGTGGAACAGTTCAGTAGGTAAATGTAGAAGGTGGTGTTGTAGACCCTCTTAGAAGACACATCTCTCTAAGAAGATGTCACACACTCAAACTGGGGAAACAATGGTGCCTTTCAGAGGCCAAGGATTAAATCTCTGACCAGCAAATGCATTTGGGATGGATGCTATGATTTGGTGATCTTGACCCCACTTTGACGTGTCCTGGGCGTTGAAACTAACTCCTCAGGCTCCATTTAAACCAGAGGCAGAGAATTATGGCCCCTTTATGACTTGTGGACTTCAACTACCAGAATTCCCCAGCCAACTTGGCTGTGGAATTCTGGAGATGAAGTGGAAAACGGCTATGCTTTGCTGGAGAATTCTGGGAGTTGAAGTCCACAGGTCTTAAAGCTGCCAAGGTTGATCTAAACATCTTGGCTGGGGTGGAGGCACCACAGTTTCCCAAGAGGTTTACACTTGACCCCAGCAGACCTGCAGTCTTCGCCACTCAAGGACAGAATTCATTTCAGCAGTGGCATAATAGCTCCTTCTTCCCTTGGGGTTGAGTAAATTCAGTGGAGAAGAGACAGGGATAATTGTGCTTTTGAGAGCTGCTCCCCTTCCCTCCCTCCCACCCACGCACCCACTCTTTTTATTTTATTTTCTTTTGCCGGAACCACTTGAGTCTGGCACATTGCCAGCTGCTATTTTGAGAAATAGGTCCCTCCTGTCCGATGGAGAGGGGGGGGGCACTTTTATCAGGTCAATTTCATGCTTGGCTCCAAATTCTGCTCCGCTAATCTAACCCGGGGAGGGGGCTCCAGGCTCCCCCCTTCCCCTACTCCTATGTAGGAACCTACCAATTTCAAGGCTCAACTTCTTGGCTGGCTCAGATTGCTTTGGGCTGAAACGGAAGACAGGATGAGGAATTCCCCCTCCCCTTTTTTTTTCTTTTCTTCTCTTTTCCTCATTTCTTTCCCCTTTTCAGAGCTAAATGTGATTTCAAAAGGCCTTCCCCCCCCCCCAGCTTTCAGCTCACAAATCTGACCTACATTGAAGACAGCGTAATTTAATTCACAATGAAAGTTCCTTCCACAACGCCACATTTTTAACCCTTGCTATGTTCCATGGTAGAATTTTAATTAAAAGAAGGATTATTTTTATATCATCTTGGGAAAACCCCATATACCCGAGCCCTATCTTTCGCTCATCAAAGCCTAACTGTTTTCACACACAAGGCTTAAGACGAGATGTCCTCAGTTCCTAAACCCTCTTCTGCGTGAAAATAATTTTGGCTGTACAGCAGTGTTTCTCAACCTTGACAATTTTAAGGCATGTGGATTTCAACTCCCAGAATTCCACAGCCAGCATTGCTGGCTGTGGAATTCTGGGAGTTGAAGTCCACATGCCTTAAAATTGTCAAGGTTGAGAAACACTGCTGTACAGGCTTCTACGGGTCAAAAAAAGCCAAGATGGTGGCCACCACACAGGATCAAAGTCCTCCTTTTTTGTCTGCAATGCAAGACCTTCCCATCTGCTTGATTTTTTTTTACCTCCTCTCCAAAGGACTCGGACTATTATAATCCCATAATTCACAGCCAATTAGACAGACAGATAGAGACAGAGAGGCAGGCAGGTAAACAGGCAAGCAGACAGACAGATAGAGACACAAACTAGATAGATAGATAGATAGATAGATAGATAGATAGATAGATAGATAGATAGATAGATAGATAGATAGATAGGTAAAGAGAGGGGGGGAAGACAGGTAGGCAGGCAAGCAGACAGACAGATAGACAGACAGACTAGATATAGAGATACAAACTAGATAGATAGATAGATAGATAGATAGATAGATAGATAGATAGATAGATAGATAGATAGATGAGAGAGAGAGAGAGAGAGAGAGACAGACAGACAGAGGCAGACAGGTAGGCAGGCAAGCAGACAGACAGATAGACAGACAGACTAGATAGATAGAGATACAAACTAGATAGATAGATAGATAGATAGATAGATAGATAGATAGATAGATAGATAGATAGATAGATAGACAGACAGACAGACAGAGATTCACCGAACAACTGGGGCAAAGAGAGGTCATAAAATGGGGCAAAATTCACTTAACAACAGACATTCTGGGCTCATTTGTGGTCATACGTTGAGGAGCACCTGGACAGAAAAAAAAATCTTCTCTCCTTTACATCGGGAGTTGGAACATGAAATTGTTAATGTTTAAAATTCCAAAAAGTATTAAAATATTTTACGCTGGGAACTGAAAGACTGCAGCGTTGCTGCTGCCTTGTGAGATTTCTGATGCAGAGCAATTCTCAAGCGAGGCTCTGTGATCAAAGGGGGAAAAAAAGAAATGAAATGAAATGAAATGTAAGAAATGACATTAAATGTGGAGACAGGCCGGGGACTCTGTGGGAGGGGTAGAATTTTTTTTTTTTTAAAGTCCAAACGGTAGCCACAGTTGCGTCTGCCATCTTTTTCGGTTACACAAACACACCCCACAGATGCTTCAGAAGGTAGGTTAGTACACTCCTTTGCTTGTGTTCAATCAATCAAATCTTTATTACAGCCATAAGCCAGCATAAGGAAGATGGGATACAATGACTAATTACTAACATTTTAAAAAAACTAAAAAAAAATATTCAAAGAAAAATTACGCCAAATCAAAAAAACATTTTAAAAAATACATTTTAAACAAGCTTACACACACAGAGCCGAGACTAAAAAAAACATCTATGGGGCAACCTTGGCATGCAGGCCTTATGCGAATCCAGCTTTCCCCCACTGACTTTGCCTGTCGGAAACTGACTGGGAAAGTTGCAGGTGGTGATCACGTGACCCCCAGGATGCTGCAACCATCATAAATCTACACTGGCTGCCGAGGGCTTGAATTTTAACCATGTGGCTGCAGGGACACAAGGCGGCTGTAAGTGTGAGGATCAGCCGTAAAGCCACTTTTTCCAATGCCCCTGTACCTATGAACAGTTGTGATGAGTGGTTTTAAGTTGAGGAGTACCTGTTTAGATGTCAGGTACTGGGGCTAAGTTTTTAAAGTTTCCCCCAATTTTGAGCTTCTGAATCCAGAAAATAAAATTGGATAGGAAAGGAAAAAAATTGTTCGGTTAGCCTGCTTGCTAAAAGGGTATTTTTTTAAAAAAAAAAATACACACAGAAGAATTATGCAGCTTTTCTTCCTCTGCAGACACCATAGAAATGCAAGCTCTACAGATTAATAACGTTCTGAAACCGGTGATCACAAATGTATTGTTTACCATCGGCTTTGCTCATCCTAAGTGGTCCTAAACCGCTGTCTTTTTGTTCCAGCTTAATTCCACCACATGCAATGGGGCAAATAACTCAACAAACCCACGCGGAACGTGACTGGCTCAACTTTGGGACGCAACCAGATTTTCCACCCCAAACCAATCTGTTCTGCTTGACTGGTTAAAAGCCGACTCCGCAATGGAAAAACTTAAGACTGCGGCGGC